GAGGCTATACCTCGAACTCAACTGGTAGATGTAGTCGGGTTGTAGATCACTGGACTTTGGACCATATCATCCTTCGATGACGGTTTGAAGCAGCTAGCAGTTGGAATTTTAGATTTCGGGGAAGAATATAAAACAAACAGACACAGCCTCTACCCAATGTGAAAAATAATTAGCCTGTCTATATATGCTCGACCCGTTCATACCATTTATTTGTTGTCTGTCCATCTTGGGTTAAGGACTGCAAAAGTTTGCGTGAAGCGAGAGTCGAACTCGCGTCCCCGGTAATTTCCTCTCGAGAGAAGCCATGTGATGGGAAACCGGGATAATAACCGTTATACTATCCACGCATTACTAATCGGGTTTGTCTCAAAGATCCATTCCTTGGACGTACACCTCCTGCTCCCTGCCCTTGCATTCCCTTCTTCCTCATGATATCCTTCGCATTTTGACTCGATGATCTCACACAGCCGTATTACACTCCATATTATTGCAACCAAAGCTACAGTAAACCAAAACGAAAGTACAAAATAATAACGAAGGTATCGCACGCATTCATCTAACAAATGACAGGACCGTCGCACAACTGAACGTGCATTTATCCACAAATATTGGGGTACGCGCGCGTCGACGGGTTAGTCGGAATCCATCCACCCGCCAAACCAGCTTGGTAGCTCCACTCGTCCGCATTCTCAGCCTACACAACAACGCGCCCGTCAGAAACTCAATTTCAACACAACGGAAAGAAACCGTAAACTCACCTTCCAGGTCCAGTAGAACCATCCCTGTCCACCCTGCTCAAATGAGCTGATTTGCGCCTCGTAAAACTGCCTCATAAACGTCTTGTACTCGGCGGAGAATTTAGTACGGCTTCCAGTGAATGGGCCGCAGTCACCGAGCTTGGTAGAGCCATCCCGAGTCCCATCGTAGCGAGCACCGACTCCGCGTCCGTTGAGGTACTTGGCGCAGTCGTATGGGGTGGATGTGAATTCACCGACAAAGGCCCAGAGGTTTGAAGCGGTGTAGCTCCCGACGGTGTTACGGCCAAAGTTGCAGGCGGTCTATAGTTGGACAAGATGATGAGGATGGAGGTTGAGCGCGGAAAATGGGACACGTACTTGGAGATGCTGGGGCCACGACATGGCGACTTCAGCGTCGGAAAAGATTTCGTAGTGGTGCTATTTGACACGTCCATCAGTTTAAGATACCTATCATAATTGGAGTATTCACGTACCGTGTCCATTGCGACACCTTCGAAGTTAGGGTAACTCATAAAGCCACTCCAACTGCTAAGAGGCTGGAATGCGTCATGGATAACTTCAAGCAAAGGGCCCTAGACATACACGGTTAGAGAATACCTCAGGCGCGTGTGCGTAAGACTTACCTGAGTTGCTGAGCCAAAGGGATAGCGAATGTTGCCATACGAATCGTACCAGTATTGACGGATCACGTCCATAACGTTCCCCCCGACAAAGCCAGCAGGCTCATTGAGAGGTGCAATACCCACGACGGACTGCGCGTATTGGTCCTTGCTAAAGTAAAAGTCAACGCACGCTTCATATGACGGCTACGGATTACCCACCTAAATTCGGTAGAGAGCGTCTTAATAATCGCATTAGTCCTCGCTACGTTCTGCGAATTCTGATGCCAAGTAGCGCTACCCCGCCTTCCAGAGTTATCGAATCCATTCTAGAAAAAAGAACAAAAACAATCAACTCGGAAATCCTTCTAGAACGCTGCCGACGCAACATACCTGGCTGCCCGGAGCGCCGTGCAAGTCAACCAAGACCTTAATTCCATGATTCTGCGCCCACTGGATGGCCTTCAGGAGATAGGGGTATTGTCCTTGGTGATATGGTTCGCCAGCGGAAATGTCGAACGCCCAGTAGCCGATCGGAATACGGACGTGGTTCAAGCTGGATCACAAAACGTATTGCATATTAGTTGGGGTTAGGAGCTAACGCGCAAAGGGTTGATTGGCTTACCCCGCAGCGGCGATGGCGGCAAAGTCCGACTCGGTGATCCAGGTGTCCCAGTGGGTCTTGAGCTTGGCTTGGGCAGTATTAAAGTCTTGGAATTGGCCGAATCTGTGCAAGCGAGGGGCTTAGTATGCTTCGGAGGACATTCATGGTGTAAACTTACGTATACTCGTCGACAATAGCGCTGTTGCCGGTGTTGTCGAACAATGAGGGTGTAATCCAAGGCTAATAGTTTACCATTCGCATTTAGCATACCTGAAGCTCGAGCGTAATCTAGAACTCACCTCAAGGACGAGCCAACCACCAAGGTTCACGCCCCTGACTTTGGTCGATCCGTAAGGGAACCGCAAAGCAGGCGCACGCTTGGTGTGGGTGCCATTGGCAGCGGAAGAGTTAGTCCGAAGTTTGTGCGTGCGCGAGTGATGTCCATGGTGGTACGAACGCGCCGACGCAGGTTCCAGTTCACCGAAGACGACGGGAACAAGGGCCAACAACGACAGCGAGAGGGTGATCTTGTTGAACGGAATCATACTTTCAGAGTATCAAAGTGTCAAAAATCCAAACGAAAGTGAGAGCTTATAAGCGAGTGTAGAGCTGCACTTGTAAAGAGTGTGGGGTTGGAGAACCGGGAGAGGGAGAACGAAACACGCCGGTTTGTTGAGACTCGCCAAGGAGGTATTTTATAGGCTCCTGTGCGCGTGCTCGGGGGATTTCATGTCACGTTTAGCAGTCTTCGATCATTCCGACGTTCAGAGGGGCTTCGGTGGGGAAATTCGGTTTAGGAGTGCTTCTTTTGGCCGGGGATTTGAGTGTGCCGCGGTATTCCGAGAGTTTTTCGGCTAGGACGCCAGGAGCTGCCCAGTTGAAGTAGAAAGACAGAGAAAGCCGAGCACAACAAGACAGTTTTTCGGCTGCTGTGGCTTTCCCTCTACGAATCCGAGCGCTGACCGATGCATTTGGCAGAACGATAGGCTGTCATAGAATTGACAGGGAGTAGGCAGAAGATGCACGAATCGAGGTTCTCATTCCGAACAGAAGGAGAAAATGACATAGAACTTGCAAGCCATTGAGCGGGTAAAAATTGGAGGTTCGCAGCACAAGGTGTTGAGGTACAACTTGTCTCTCAATTGTGTTATGTCATGCTTTGTCTTTGCCAAACCCGCCACAATACCGAACATCCAAAAACATTACAACGACGACCGCATGTCCGCAGTCGACTACAACAAAGAAGTCTTGGCGCTCCAGAGGTTGTGGGGTACTCGAGCCTGTTGCTTTCTTATCCAACATGTGTTGCTATCCGTCCATTGATAGCGGATTTTCAACTCGGCAACCCTCTGTCGCGCCAAGGCTTAGGAAGCCGCCACTTCCGCGCACTAGCAGTCCATTTAAACTCGCCTGTCTCGGTTTTCACTCCTCGGTCGCCCAGTCTGGTCCACTTGGTTCCCCATCTGCTTTCATTCTTGCTTTGCCCTTTTCTCTTTCTACTTTTAAATAGGCTCTGCTTCGTGCCCTCATTCTCTCACGTCAACCACCTCAATCAGTTGTTCTCACCCACAAAACCCTCGATTAATATGTTCGCTGGTCCCCTCGCTCGTGCTACCGTGATGCATCACCAACGCCGCCCTAGTGTCTCCAACCTGCCCCAGAGCTCGGTTATCCACGCTGCGATCATGGCAAACGTATCGTCTCAGTCCACCAAGTCCAATACCAGTACGTCTGTCAAACCTATACATTCGAACTGCCTAATGAAACCATCGCTTCTAGATGGACGTGTCTCGCAAGACCAGGCCCCGCTAACTGCAGCCAAGCCTGTGTCAAAATATGCCGAGGTGGACCCTCAGATGTTCGTCGACTCGCCATTCGTGGGCGGTGCGATCTTGACGCCTACCAGCTCGACCGAGTCGACCGCGTCTCAATCTAACAACAACTCAAAAGCGGCAAAGGCGAAGGCTGGCTCCTCGTTTGGGCTTAAATACTTCAACCCATCGAGCGATCCCCGCCTCCTCGCTTTGTAAACGCACACAACTCTTGAGGAGGGATGCGTGAGAGGATTCGAGTCGCAAGTCGACGCTTATTTATTCATTTCGGGTTGATTCCGGGCTTTTCAGTCGTCTATCGTTTTCTTTTCTTTTTCTTTGGATCTTTTTTATTCTCCCGCGGACACAATGGACGCTTTGCGATAGTGATAGGGTCGGGCTATTTATTCTGGAAGCAGATGTACAACTAGTTACCACGCTGTGCGAATGGACCACCAACCAAGACCCATACTACCATCATTTGGACTCTATAAGGATTAGACGTTAGACTCTAGACTCGAGCTCCACTGGCCTATCCAATCCTGTTGAGCCCCGACGCATGACTAAGAATTTGACATGGCGCTATCAAGATCCACCAAGACGAAAATAAGTACACGGCCCGCCAATGTCCGTTCGGCACGAAGATGCACACCATGATCCATTCCTTTCTCTTCGTCTTGACGTCCATCACCGTACTACTGGACTCTGGTCGTCCGACCGAAATACATATCTTGAACACCAGCGAGTCTCTTGGTCTACTGTGCTGCTTGAATTGAGTCACACGACTCGGAACGCTTAGTCAAGAAGTGTACGACTTTACGAGTTCTTCTACACGCTTGTCAGGTATTGAAGCACTTTGTTTTGGGTTATAGAGGACGCTAGGATAGTGCAGACGATACGTAACAGGAACATCAAAAAAGGTTCTAGAGAGCACGCACACCACTTTTCGCCACCCCAACGATACCGAGCTTCATTTCACCTCCCACAACCACCCCACCATGCCTCCCTCCGCCTCTGAACGACACGTCTTCATACCTGCTCCAACATCCACCGAAGACGAACAAACACAACGACCTAATGCCTTGCGGGAGTTTTACAAGCGAAATGAAGGATTGTTTATTATCGCCGCCAGCCAGTTTTTCTTTAGTCTTATGAACCTGAGCGTCAAGGTTTTGACGGTGCTTGATAAGCCCGTGCCGACTTTTGAGGTAAGTGTTTCTTGTGTTTTTTTCTTGATCGGGGATTAATGCGGAGGTGACGGTGTAGTTGGTTGCTGTTCGAATGGGGATCACGTATATATGCTGTCAAGCCTACATGTGGGTCTCTTTCGCCAAGCATGAAAATATACTGGATATTGAATGATGGTGTGCATAGGTTTGCTTCGGGAGTACCAGATCCTATACTTGGTCCCAAGGGCATTAGGATGTGGCTCGTTATCCGAGGTGTCGTCGGGTAAGTCCGTTTGCTCTTCCCGCTACTTTATTCCCTTTTGACAATATACATAGGTTCTTTGGCCTGTTCGGCCTGTACTACTCTCTCCAGTATATGTCACTCTCCGACGCAACTGTCCTCACT